CAGTGAGTATCTCAACCGAAGGATTTAGTTCAGATACCACTTGATCACATAAGCATTTTACATTTAAGAGAAAACAAGAGAGAGAGGAAGAGAAAAATAGTTAAAAACGATGAAAAAATACTCCTCCCAAAAGACCTTCCAATAACTTAGTATTAGTAGTAGGACGATAGAAAGAAATAATAGAAGTATTACCCAGTTTTTTATATGAGCATTTTAATAATAAATTATGGATTTATTTCTTCCATTAGTTCAGAATCTTGTGAACCTCCCAGTAATAATACATTATGGAAATAGAAGGAATATACTTCCTCTCTCCCAGCCTGCCCCCTACCCTCCAGCGTTTTTCAATAGTCTGTAAATTTGACCCATTTATTACTTGAGAAGCTTAAAGCATCTTATGTAAGCAAACTGGAGTCAGCACAGGAAAGCCCTCATATTATCTGTTTTACTCTTCCTTTATTTTGGGAAAGGTAACCTTTGAAAAATCAGATGTCCAATGCTAAAATCAGGCCTGCAGCCAAGGATAGGGCTATAGCCTCTAATGTGTGTCTTATCAGTGGAAGAGAGCTCCATAACCTTTTCCTCTGAGGTGACAAGTTGGACTTCATAATTAGAATAGCAAGGTTTGGAGCAGTGTTGTTCTAGGGACAATGTAACCTCATTTTGACATTGCCAGTGCTAACCCTTAACATATCAGAATATTGGAAGCAAACTTACTTTCTTCCAAAAATTTGGCACAACTGAGTATTATTATGCCTTTTGTGGTTAACAACAAGTCATTTGTCTTTCCCAATTTCTCGTTAGTTGGGCCCAGTCTCACTTAAATAATTCTTTATCTAAGGAGAGAATAGAGTGTCTTTGGCCAGTCAACCTGACAGTAAAGTTCAAGGGACTGTCATTGGGAAATTAAATTATGGAAAATGGGCAATTGTGTCCACTGAAATTTCTTAAGGCAACTGAAAACATTATTGCTTTTTTTTTTTTTTTTGAAATGAAACTTTCTAACTTTTTATTTTATGTTTTATGCACTGCTGGTTATTTAAACCTAGGGCCCTGTACACAACAGGCAAGTTGTACCTCTACCACTGAGGTACAACTCAACCCTGAACACTTTTTTTTTGTTGTGGAATTTGAACTCAAGACCTTGTGCTTGCTAGGCAAGTGCTCTACTACTTGAGCCACTCTCCCAGCCCTTTTTTGCTTTAGTTACTTTTTTGGGTAGGGTCTCAAGGCTGGTCTTGAACAACAATGTTCTCACCTATGCCTTCCACATAGCAGGGATTATAGATATGTATCACCATGTCTGTGGCTGGCTGAATTTTTTTTTAGTGAAGAGACAAAAAGTAGACCGCCTAATTGAAAATTGGAATTATAATGATAATTGAATTGATGGTCTCCTAAACTTTCAAAAATTACAGATACTAAAGTAGTAAATCATGCAAATAAATACTTTAATGTGTTTTCTCAAGCAACAGTGGCTTTTGATGAAGTGCTAGTACACAATGAATGTGCTACACAATATCCCTTAAGTATTTGGAAATGAAGAGATATTATGGAGATTTCTTCTTTTATCTCACACTAGTCAGTAATATTTCACTGATAATTTGAAAACTCTACTTGTTGGACAACTTATCATTTAACCAGTTTCTCATGGTAGAGTAGACTGTCTGACACATCCTGGCTTCATAAGGAGTTTCTGGACAAAGCTCTAAGCTGACAGGGCACGCACATAATGAGTGCTTCAGAAAGACATGCTAAGAATTAAAATGCAGAGTCCATTGCTCCAGCTACCTTAGCAGATCTTTTGGGAGAACTTTATTAGAAAGATTTCGTAGCAGCTACAGTCAGTATTACCTTGAATTTTAGCTTACTGGACCACAATAAGTATTACATTGTTCAAAGTCAAGGTAATGGTCCATTGAAAAAAAAGTTTCCATGTTGTTACCGCCACCTGAAGTCAACACTGTATTTTTAAAGGGGTTCCTCCATAGCTGTTTATTTTCTCTTGAGATTCAGTCAGTGTAGTATTCACCAGATTGCTTGCACATGATAAGCTGACAATCTTCCCAGGCAGAGCTCTCTGGGAAAATCACAACTATGCTGTTAGAAAGAGTTGTCTGCATTCCCATTCTCCATTCTGTCACCTCTCATGCAAGTCCTCATCCTATTTCAATTTTCAGCTTTTCCACTTGCTAGCTGTGTGACCTTTGATAAATTTTCATTCCTTTCTGACCCTACCCTCTCTTCTGGAAAAGGGGACACTACACCAAATGTTGTTATGATAATTCAGTGAAACTGTGTGTAAATATTATCTGAAGACACAAACACACACCTATACATCTACGCCTTCATACACATTTATATTTGCTAATAACAACTTTACTGTTTTTGTATATTGTATATTTATTTATTATTAGTGTATGTGATTTTTGAATTCTGCTTTATATTTGATATCCCTAAGCAGCCTGTATGAAGAGAATGGACCCTTCTCTGTCTTTGCATTGCTTGACTCCTCAGCCATACTGGACACTCCTAAGCCCTCCCTTTTTCTAAAACTCTTTCACTTATCGTATTTTCACCTAGCTTTCTCCTCTATCTTTTCCTAGGTCCTTTTTTTGTGTTGTTTTGTTCTCTCTCAGTCTGTAAATACTAGATGTTGTCAAGGCTCAGCCCTGGTGCTTTGCTCTTGTTGTACCCACTTCCATTGACCAACATGATTTTGTTTTAGAATATGAATTATTGTAAAATTTATAAGGTAAGAACTTTCAAATCTCTACTTTCAACTAGACTTTACTACCGAACCTCAAACTTCTTATCTACCTGCCTAGTTGGCATTTTGTATTGGATGGCTCATAGGTATCTCTCATTTAGTATATTCAAAATTGGACCCATTGTCTTTCCTATTCCATTTTCCCCCCACAGAATGGTACTACCGTTTACCTAGTTTCCATCAAATGTGAATGTTATATTTGTTTCTTCCCCCTGACTTATATCAAGTCCTGTATGTTCTTCATCTTAAGTATTTCTTTAATCATATTTTATTTTGACTGTCCTTACCTTATTTTGCCTCTGTCCTGAGAGATTATAGCAACTTCATAGGTGGTTTCTCCAACTCAAGTCCTGAATTCAATTCTCTACATGCAAGATAAAAGACAGTTCTGCAAAACAAATCTGTGTTCTTTCACAGCATTAAAATATCCAGTCTCTTTAAAGTAGAGTATGAGGCTTTGATGACCTGGCGTCTGCTTCTCCAATTTCCTCAGCTCTATGGAATTCATGCTTTCCTATCTCTGGCATTTTGCACATGCTGTTTCTTCTGCCTAAAACACTTCCTTGGCTTTCCCACTCTTCTCTGGCTCAGTTTATAATTATGACAGTCTTTAGCTTGGACTTTACTTCCAATAGGAAGCCTTCCTAGTCATTTATTCCTCTAAGGCATGTCTCAACATTTCTCATGGCACTTCACTTTTTCCATCATAACAGTATTATATTGCCTTGTAACTGTTCATTTACTCCTCTGTCCATACTAGACTCTAAACTCCAAATGGGTAAGGATCATGTCTGTATTTTTCAAGGTTTTGTCTCTAGAATCTAGCTTAATGTTAATAATTTAGAATTTATAGTGTACAAGTACATTAGGCTGTTCTTGATTCTTCAAGAATAACTGAGAAGTGTGTAAAAGCTCATAATTTGCTTTTTTAGAAAAGAAAGGTTTGGAGTGTTATTAAAATAGCAGTACTAGTAGACCTAGGGTACACTACAAGGGATCAGACTTCAAGGCAGAGAATTATGTGGTCAGGGGTGATTCCCCACTAATGACATCACAATGTTATACTGGAGTCATTGCCAGTCCCAAATGTTTACGCATTTGGGAGACAACTCATGCCTTCGCTGGTTATAGTCATACATGTTGTATTTTATTCAGCCAGTTTATCTTAATGATTAGTGATCTAAAAATCTCCCATCTTTATATTTTAAGTGAGAGAATTTTTCTCAGTCCTCTGTTTTTTTTCATATTAAGTTTTGCATTGTGTGGCCTATTTTTTAAATTCAGCCTATGCTTTAAAGTAACACTTCATTTTTTCTACTGCTCCACAAAGGGAAAACTTATTTATATGATTAACTTCAATTCTGTAATTTTTATTTCCATTTAGAGCAAGGGCCCTTAAATAACACAGCCTTATACTAGTAATATTGCTCGGTTTAGTTGGTTTGCCATTTCAATTGGTCTTGCTCCCAGTATTTTCATTTCTAACCACCAATATTAAACAGGATCATGATTCCAGGATTTTAAAAGCTAATTTACTTAGGGTCCCATCTATCATGCAACTTATTTCAACTTCCTTTTTTGTCAAAACAAGTTACTAAAGGAGACATATTTTAAACACATTAAATATTTTGAAGAGAATTTCTTAAAAACAGGCACAGGCAATTTTTTCTCATGTCTCTAAGTGGTTTCACCCTCAAAGTTTTCCATTTGCTCTCAAAGATTTCTTTTCTTTGCCATTTGTCCAAAAATTGTAATGGGAAGGTTAGGACTGGGTCATTTCTACTCTACTTATCCCAAAACTTAAGAAAAATGAAGATTGTGTATATAAAATACAATGTCTGATCCTGGATATATGAGTGTGTATGTACATGTAAATACACATACACAAAAATACAATCTATTTAGTATATTTGTATATATACTATATTCGTGTATATTTACTATACATACATAATGACTATGTGTGCCATATATATATCACACATATTAGCATTCCTATGTTTATATATTCATTTATATTGTACTGTCCCAATCTTTTACGAAATTTGTTAATGCATCAGTATTCTGAATTAGAAAGTATACTTAGTACTCTCGGGAAAATTAATGATAAGAATGGAATGTGAAAAAGAGTATCAATTGTAATTTCTATTATATTTTAAAGAAAACCAAGTTGTGTTCAGTAGAATACAGAAACATAATTTTCAGTATAATATGTTAATATTTCTTTCAGATAAGGAAAACACCTGCAATGAGAAGATACTGAATTGTAAGTCTTCATTCCTGTCCTCTGTCATGCTGTCCAAATGTTTTTTAAATCACACAATTTCCTTGATACTGAACACATTTTTATAGCTTAGTAATTTCGTAAATGAGGGCTTTGCTGCTTGGTGAGTTCCTATACATAGCCCAAGATTTTCCTCAAATTTCCTTTTGCATCATGAAGTTATATCCTTTGGGTCCTCTGATATTTGCAGGTATCTCTGTTATTTACTTACTGCATCATGTCACTTTCCTACTTTCTTCTCTTTCTCACTAGAGCCAATATACTGTTAAGTGGAGAGCCTGGGCAAAATGTCTGAGATTCTGGAAAAAAAATTTCTATATGTATATATGATGTATAACGTATTATAAGTATAAATATGTAACATGTTATATATTATAAATTAATTTATATAGCTATAAATAAAAACCATGTCAAACATAGTAAATATTAAAATGCCTATAAAATAATTTCAAGCAAATGCAACTTAAATCACATGCAGTTATGAGAACTATATTTACTGTGAGAATGTAAATTCATCTTAATATTTTATATGATGTCAGGCAGATCTGCAAAATTCTGAAGGAGTAGGGCCTGGGGAATTTTGGTCGCTCTACACTTTGGAGCAAGAAGACCATTTCACTTACTTTTACAGTCCCAAAGATCAATGGCAATCTTTGGCATACAGCAAATACTTAAATATTGGTAATGAAAGGCCTAGAAACAATAAGCAAGGTAAAAATAATGTACCATGCTGTTGACTGAAAATTTATATTAAACAAATGGAACCTGAGGCAGATGTGTTTGTACATGTGTATAATTCCAGGTATGTGGGAAGTATAGGTAAGAGGATCATAGTATGATATATTAAACACTTTGCATGTTGTATGACATGAGATGAGGTTCCAATAAAAGTTAGTAATTGTTATTATTATTGCTATAAACTAATAGAAAGTAGCTTTAACAAACATGACTACATCTAGAGTATTTAAATCTTTAAATAGCACCCAGTCTTGTTAGCTAAATTGGGTACAGTAGAGCTAAGAGGTCATAATGTACAACTTTCTTTAAATTCTCCATTTCTACCAGCAACAGATTGTAAAAAAAAAAAAAAAATGCTGGAATAAGTCAGATTTTGAGGCTCTATGTAAATTTTTTAAAAAGTGATGGTGATAAAAGCTTTCTTATTCTCAAGATAACATGCATGAAAACAATTTGTAATTCAGGATAGCAATACGGGTATGTCTTTAAGCCAAGTAACTCTTTGTGACACATTGTCCTTGCTTTCTAAAGTAGGCCTCATCTCACTTTTAATGTGTGAAAGGAGAGATTATTCAACACAGTGGTAGACACATTTTTGTTCTCAAGAACACTGCGATATCATTAATCTTCTGGCATGCCTGCAAAGGCGGGTTATGTGAATGCTAGTCTTTTGCAAGGCTATAAATAAAGTTTAAAGAGAAAAAGAGACAGAAAGAAAAGATGTTTTCCTGAAGCTTCTATTGCCACAGTACGGACCACATTAAGAGTGCAATAACTTACCAGTAATAACACTTTTAAAATTCTCTTTATGGGTTTTCAACATCTGTCTAGAAAAAAACCAAGCCTAAAAATAGAATCTGATCTTGTAATGCAGCTTTCTCAAATTGGGTTATCCTAAGCACTCTCCTCATTGAATGGTCACATATGACTATTTAGAGCTCATTTCTGGTATAGCAGTACTTTTTTGTGCATATCACATGCTTAGCAGCCTGTAAGACACTGTCGTGCACATTCATGCATTAGCATGCATGCATGCGTGTGTGTGCGTGTGTTTGTGTTGGGGGGACTAGTTTTTTTTGGATGGAAAAACTAAAGTGGAAATAATTTGTGCTTCTTTGGCTGCTAAAATGTAAAGCACAAAGTTTTGTTTTTCATTTTTGTGTTAGAAATTTCTTTGTATTTGATAGTCTAATGGACTTAAGTTTCATAATTATCTATGTTTGAAAATACTTTCAGGAATAATGCTTGTTCGCTAAATGCTGTTAGAGCACACTTATGGTTTATTATTGCTTATAATATGGCCTTTGTTGTCCAGTAGAATAGTAAGTAGCTTCTTTTTTTTTTAATTTCAGCAAAGGCTTGTCCCTGATGGTTCTTCAGCGGGCAAAACTACTGATTTTATGAAAATATCAGTTACAAAGGAATTGACATGATTGTTGTTTAGAGTTACTTTCATTCAAACATACAGAACTGAAAATAAAAGTAAATAAAAATTTAAAACTCAAACTTGCTTATTCTTTAATTATATCTTGCTATATACCCTTGGAAGATTTTTTTCCATCATGCTTTGGAATTTGGAAATTCCAAACAGTTTGTATACGAGAAGTGAAAGACTCTACAATTAGAACCTCTTGCTATTCGGTGTTTAAGGGATATGTGCTCCTAATTAAGAATCAATATTGCTGGCAGCTTTTCAGGTTGAGCACATCTTTAAATTTGGGGAAGACTGCTGACACAGCACTATAGGTCTCTTCACCAAGCTCATCACTGCAGTTCCAGTGAGCTTCAGCTCTCCTGGCTCTGTTTTGCCAGCTATGTTTTAAAGGCTTCATCTGGGGACCTGTGATGAGACAGTTATTTCTCTACTGGTCTTTGCATGTGGCTCCACTCTCACAGCCCACATCTGGGGAGCTCATTACATTCTGTAAAAGATTAGGATGGAACAGGCAATTTGAATTCTTCGTACAAGAAGCATACAAGTGAAGTTTCCATGCCATTTGCTCAGGAAGTTAAAAAACAAACCAAGGTCTTTTTTTTAATACAGAAAGTTGGATTGCCAGAATCCAGCATGGCCTTTAGAGATTGACTCTTGACTGCCATGAAGAACAAAGATGGTAAACTAGATATCTTTAATAAGGTTTTAAAACCCATTGCAAATATCAGTTTGGGAAACACAATATAACTTTAATTTACAGAAGAAAACAAAAAGCAAAGGAAAATATAGAGGACAATAATTAATATTTACAAAGGTTGTTTTACATATGATTTTAAGTAGATAATTGCCTTCTTCATTACTTAAAATATTTTCATGAAATATATATTACTTTCCCTAATGTACAGTGAGGGAAACACAATAATGAGATAGGTTACTAAGTGTCAGAGGTAGAGTTTTAATCCAAGTTGATCTGATTTTGAAGTTCATATCTCACTCAACCAGGATCAACAGGATTGATCCAGGATCAAATGGTGATTGAAGCAAAATTTTATTCACTGAGTTCCTCCTTTTTCTTCCCTTTTGGTGGTCCTTAACTTATCTCTGTCTCATTTTTTATAGATATGTTTTGCCACATCTTCACCACTCACTATATAAATGTCAATGGAAAATGCCACTAGCTAATTACACTTTTTTAGATAGGTTTTTATTGGGCAAAAATCAATATACAAAAATGCCTTTAAGATTCCCAAAAATGTTCTTCAGACAACATGACAGTTGGAGATTGCTGGTGGTGGACATATATGAGCTAAGAAGCTTTTCACAAAAGGACATGGGACCTAGGGAGACTCAGTTTTTCCTCCTTAAATATAAAAAGTCTAAATGAACTCAAGGAGCAGGTCTAAAGGCAAAAGAAGTCATGAATTAAATAGATTGAGTGGAGAATTGTGGCTGTGATGGGGAAGAATAAATTCTTTGCTTGGTGACACTAGGTTTCTATGGGGTTCTCAACTGGTTATTTCAAATCTCAGGTTCTCTTCCTTCATTTCCACTTTATTTCATCCTACTAAAGAGACAAAGTTTCAGAACACTGGCTTCAGAATGTATTTGTTCTCTTTACCCTTAAATACAGTTGCTTCCTGCTCAAAAGCTGCAATAAGGATAGTTAAGCCTGTTTGAAATGACATCTTCCCTTCTTGTTATGACATAGACCTCTTTACTTTAAAACTGGTATAGACATATAATGTTAGTGAATCCCAGTGTAAACTTTCTGTGTTTTCAAACATGTAAAGAAAAGTATTTATGAAAAAATGATTTCTGAAAAAATTCATACAAGGGTGAAAAAAATTCATAAAATCACTCCTCTACCAATTGAGATACTTTGCAAACTTCAAACTACTTTTCTGTGAATGTTAACATACTGTTAGTCATAACTCACATTTTAAAAGTTTTTTCCTTTCTCTGAATATGACATAACCATGTTGTAGGCCGCTAAGCATTCTTCACTAGTTAGAGTGAACTGTTTTTGTGGGAAGATGGTAATGGCATAGATGTTCTACAGTACATCTAAACGCATGAAGTACTTCCTTGTATGCATTTGCGTAAATGACAATACAGTCCAGCCACACATTTAAAATATGATTCAGATTATACAAATGCTGAGTTATAGTTCTCAGGACATTGTTAACATCATCACTTTTTTTTTCCGTTTTTATTAGTATATATTAGTGGTACAAAGCAGTTTCATTGTGATTATTTCATACATTCATATATTGTACTTAGCTCATATTCACCCCCTCTATTACTCTTTCTTAGTCCCCCTTCATTTGTGTTATCTTCATACATGAACGTAATGTATTTTATCATATTTACCCCCCCATCACCCTCATTTTTTAATCTAATCACAATCTTGCCACTTAATTATACTTAAAAATGAGGTACATTAAAAATCATGCTAAGAAAGAAAAGAACAACTAAAATCGACATGAAACATCTAGGCAAATTATCACTATATTTAGATATTTCTCACGAGTTGCTTAGATAACTGTTCTACATATTTGCTGAGAATTTCTTTTACACTAAAGAATATCTTTGGCTTATGTGCAGCTGTTGTGGCCTGGCCTTACCCCATTAAAGGCGATCTGTGGGAAGGGTAGAAGACAAATTGTGACACTGTCCCTTATCAAAGGACCACACAGTTGTCTACCACTTTGACTCCATGATGGATGGTTATCTTGAGGTTTGACGGATGTAAGGCTAAAAGTTTAGAGAAAAACAGTGCAGGAGCCCAGTAGCTCCTTACTATTGACAC